AAAAAAAAAAAAAAAAGTCCAAGGCCAGCCCAGGTAAAACTTTTAGTAAGGATACCATCTTAACAAACTGGGTGTAATGGCTTAAGCTTCAAATCTCAGGTATGTGGGAGGTATAGGTAGGACTGTCATGGCAAAAGCCTGAAATTCTACTTGAAAAATAAAGCAAAAAGGGCTGGGGCATGGGCAAGCACAAGGCTCTGAGTTGAAACCCTAATACCACCAAAAAATTAAAAAAATCAAAATGACCCTTCAAGGTTAGCAGAGTGTGCATGAGGTCCTGGGTCCAATCCATAGCGCCACCACGCTGTGCAGAAGCGGAAGTCTAGGTGTGCTAGATTGGCTTCACCATTAACCAACTACCACAGCTAGGTAAGGCACAGCTGGTGGAGGTGTGATGGGCATTAGTATTGCTTTCTGAGGGTGTTGAAGCTGCCTCCAGCCACCATGGCTTAGCATGGGAATTCACAGAAGTGTCCACAACTTAAGACAAGTGCCAAGACAGCTGTGTGTGCGTACATCCAACAATGACCTGTGCGTGTCACAGGGGGAGGCCTCTGTGCTGAGCAGCTGCCATCGACAGGGAACTGCAAACCTGAGAGAGACCCTGCCAGGTGCTCTACTGGTAAAGGACCTGGTGGACTCAGGCTGAGCGGTACTGGAGAGCACTTCAAATGCAAAAAAAGTGAAAGGAATCTGTCAAATCCTACCACCTTTAGTATACCATTTCTGTACCAAGGAGTTCCGGAGTCCTTACCTCTTTCCAGTGCCTTCAACTGAACAAACAGAATTGGGAACAACAAATTAGCAGTATGAACAAACACCACCAGAAATTGTAGTTTTCATTCACTTTAAAAATACTTTACTGGGGCTTGAACGCAAGGCCTCTTTGTCTTATTTGGCTCTTTTCACTCAAGTGGTACTCTACCACTTGAGGCACAGCTCCACTTCTACCATTTAGGTGGTTAATTAGAGATGAGTCTCATGGATTTTCCTGTCCTGGATGACTTAGAATCATGATCCTTGGGCTTAGCCTCCAGAGTAGCTAGGGATTACAGGTGTGAGCCACAGGAGCCTGGCTTTGTGTGTATTTGTATGTGTGCGCGTGCGCATGCATGTGTGTGTGTTGAATTTATATCCTCAAACATACTAGGCATGCGATCTACCACTGAGCTGCATCTCTATGCCAAATAAGCATTCTTCATGTTTTTCCTGGAGTGGAGAAAGCAAAGTGTATTAGTAAGTGGCTGTGCTAAGACTGGATGGCCTAGAAGTGAGCACAGCCAGCCCCAGGCTGAGGCCCCAGGCTGAGGCAGTGGCCCCTGGCCCCACTTGTCATTGTGAAAGCAGGAGCAAGCTCCAGCTCCTTCTGTAACTATGACCTATGGTGGGGTGAGGTCAGGGGCTGAAGACAGGCAGTAAAGTCAGTGGGATGAAGAAAAGTATCTGGAATACGTGTCACATGAGCAGTGTATTTCTGACTGGCACAGGGAACTGTTTACTGCCATTCAATGCTGGAAGACAGGTAAGGCTCAGTGAGCCCAGGATGCTGCTGGCACACTTGAATCTAATATATAATTCCCTATTTTCCTTTAGAGGAGTATGCAGTGATCTCCCCCCAGCTCCCATCCCTTTTTTTGGTGAAACCCAAGCATGCTCAGGGAGGAAAGAACCATCTGGAGGCTGTTCCACATCTGCACCGACAACTCGAGAGTTAACTGTGAGGTCCTGTACTCGTCAAACAACGGTCATAACTAACATTCACTGTCTTCTGGAAGCCTGCAGACTGAGTGCCCCAGGACATTAGCTGTGTTGGGTAGTCAGGCTGTCAAGTAATTTTAGGATTTGTTTTATTCCCTTATAAATCTAAGTAAATGCTGTGTCCGCACTTCCCACAAGTAGTAGAAAGAACAGCCTGGTGCCACTATGACCTGACAGCTTCAGGTTCTGGGCGAGTGGCCTATGTCAGATTAAGGCAGTGCTACACCTGGCCAGCAAGCATCTAGGCTCTGTGATCAAGCCCCAAGATAGGCAAGAGAGAGAGAGAGGGCTCACTGAAAGTTGGTCAAATGCTGTTTTGGACCCTTGGTGCAATGGTACCGAACTGCAAGCAGATCCATACAGACTTCTTGGTATGGCCTTGGGAGATGAAACTGCCAGGGACGTGGAGGAAGCTGAAAGACCATTGGCAACAGGTGAACTGAACAGTGAGACATGAATTCATGCAGAAAGGATGGCTCTTTGTTTGCCCGCCTCTGTGATTCTGGCCTCTCTGGGCCTGCTCCACCCCCACGTTGTTCCTACTATGTATGGTCTCTGCTTTCTTTGCTGACTTGCAAGTTTCACATGCAGGGGCTTGACTCCCACGCCTCCGTCTACCTCAGCACTAGAATGCAGCCAGGATGATAGGCCCCAACACACACACTGAATGAACATCTACCCACGTGTGCTATTCCTGGGCCCCAACACTGTCCAACAACTTGTTAGGCCCCAGTCAGAATTTTTTTTTTCCAGTCCTGGGGCTTGAACTCAGGGCCTGGGGCTCTGTCTCAGAGCTAGCTCAAGGCTAGCACTCTACCACTTGAACCACAGTGCTACTTCTGGCTTTTTCTGTTCATGTGGTGCTGAGGAATGGAACCCAGGGCTTCATGCATGCTAGGCAAGCACTCTACCATTAAGCCACATTCCCAGCCTCACCCAGTCAGACTTCTGTTCTGTCTCTGCACAGGGAGGTAATACAAGCTTTCTACTTCACTGACAAGTGGACTGCCTGCACCTGCCCTTTCCCTGGCCACTCCACAGATGTTTATAAGGTGCTCTCCTCCCTTTACATCCATTCTCTACTTGCTCCTTTCTGTTGGTTTTTAAATGTGCTCCCGCCTAGTATTTTGGAGGTGTTGGTTCTAGAGATGGAACCCGTGGACATGTGTACACTAGACAAGCATTCTACCACCAAGTTACATCCTCAGGTTCTACACTACTATTTTTTTAGAGATGGCCTTTCCCCTCAGCTGCACTAGGCTCCGGGGTTGAGACTTGGTCTTTCACACATCTTTTGTTGTGCTAGTGGAGTCTGAATTCCATGCCTCTGTATATCCCTTACCCAGCTCTAAGCTGCTTCCATCTGGCCTTCCCTTTTGCTCCCACATCCCTTCATGCCTGCCTCCACTTCCACATCTCCATTCTGCCACTTCCCACTCCACACTGCAAACCCCCCCCCCCGCCCCGTCTCTTCCCCATCTTTTCTAGCACGGCTCCTCACTGATCAATTATTCACTGTATAGCTACAACTGATTCTACAAAAAGTTAACTTTAGGCTTCCACTCTGCTTAAAACCGTTCTGTTTCCCTGTATCTCACACAGCCCGCCTGACCCTGTCTTGGGTCCCTCTCTTGGGCTGTTTCCCTCTGCAAGGCCTCCCACCACCACAAAGTGAGCATTCTGGCCTGCATGTACCACCTCACGGGAGCGAGGACAGAGGCAGATAGAAAGCCAATGTGGTGGCACTGATGGCACTGTGGAGTGGGCCACTGTGTGACAAGGCTTTTCAGCTGGTTTGCTCAGAGGTCTGACTGCCTAGCACAGTTTCAAGCCAACATCTGCATGCATGACAAGTCAATGGGTACTCAGCACCCACTTGTATGCTCTCTCCTGGCCTTCTAGAATTACCAGAGTGGACACAACCATGTGGCTTCCCCGACAGGCTGAGCTCTGGGTGCCACAAAGTGCCTGCCACATACGATCCAGGTCTGAGGGGCCTTGGAGAGCTGTTCACTCCCGTAAAGTCTCATCTTCATTGGATGTTTATAAATTCAGAGGCTAATAAAACAGAAAGGTGTCCCTAACACAGTGACTATAGATTCAGGTAAAAACAAAACAAAAACTCTCACTAGGCTGGAGGCCTGACTCTAACAGCTGGGTGGGACAGAGCTCTACCTGCAACAGAAACACACAGGGAATAGCAGTCCTGAGGGAGGGATGGCTTTAATCACATTACAGGCAAACCTGTGGAGGAGTGCAGTCTGGGTGAGGGAGTTATAGACCTCAAGAGCCATTTTCACCCACTGCTTAGGCAATTCATGCTAGGATCACAATGGCACTTTGTGCCATGCACATACTGGCATTCAAAATTCGGAGGCTCCTGTGCTCTCCAGTGTTTAGCTACATTTTAAGCAACATTGTGCTTTAGGCTTGTGGTCTCAATATTCTCAGCATCCAGCTGCACAGATAGCTGACGTTGGAATTCTCTCTCTCAACTAAAATCAAAACATGACTGGAATAATGGCCTTTACATTTTACAAACACTGTTTTACTGCAGAGCCGACCACATATCAGAGACACTGTGAACGAGCTTCATTTCAGACCAACTTGACACTCATTGCCCTCCTCCTCCCACCAAGCTCCGAGGTAGCTCATCTGATCAATTAAAATATTTTATAGATTAATATAGATGAACATAATGGCTCCTAATCTTTCTTAAGAGGAGGTGTTTCTTCTTTTCTCTTGCATCTTATGATCAGTCCTGGCACTGTCATATAAGGGTATGGAATGAATGTAAACTTAAGACTATTTGCACAGTACAGGGATTAGAGAATATGCTTGCACTTAAAATCTCGCAACGGAGGACTAAGACTAAGTTAGCTTCAGCAATCAGACCATTATGGCACAAATGTGCCAAGAGCCTCTCAAGTATGTTTACAATGACACTGGAAAATATTCCAAAGAATGAGGCTAAAACAAGAAAGGAATTCGAAACTGCTTCTATATGATGTCAATGCCTAGGTGCTAGTGGCTCACACCTATACTCCTAGCTACTCTGGAGGCTGAGATCTGAAGAATCATGGCTTGACGCCTGTTCCTGTTTGAGACTACATCTCCAATTAACTACCAAAAAGTGGGGCTGAAGGTCCCATCAGCAAAGCAAGCTAGATGAATTACCCCAATAGTGGTCCAAAAGTAGTCAACTATCTATCTAATTATATAACCAATAAGAAACATAGACAAGAGTACAGCACAACATAAACACAACTTCAAAGTACGTTACTGGCAATCTGAAGAAAAAAAAAAAAGCACCAAGCAGTGGGGGGAGATTTTGCTCTACAGAGTTCTCAGAGATCATTTCCCTTGACTATTAAACTTATGAGTAGACTGTTCTTTATTTGCCGTCTTTAGAGGACAGCCACACCACAAGGAAAAAGGGCATTTACTTTTGAGTCACTTACTGTGGAACCTCTAGCCGAGTCCTTACATATAAGCAGTGAGAATAAGCTACTCTTTTACTCATAAAGCAGCATGGAGCGCCTTGCGTACCTGGCCCGAGCAGTGGTGACCGATTCAGCTGGGCACCGGCCTGATGCGAAGGTGGCGTCTCAGCTCGATGTGCAGTGCTCGAGGTGGGGGTCGTGGGTGTGGCAGTGGTCGTGGTACTGCTCTGGATGACTGGGTTGTTCCTGTCCCACATGTTTACAGTTTTATTGTTGTAGTTGCTTGGGTCCCCCCAAGCTGAGGTACCATCATCAATTTCCATTTTGCGTCGAATGGACGGTGGAGAGGGCTCCTCCCAGCCAGTTGCCTCACTGCTATCCTTCTGTGTGACTGGTGCTGGGCCCCCAATCCACCCTGTCCCTGTCTGCTTAACAGAAGCAGCTCCTCCCCAGTTACTCGCATTGTTGTCTTGGGCCTTGTGAGTCCAGTTCTGCTGGGGACCAGGTTTGAGAGCCTCACCCCAGTTTGTACCTGGATTCACCTTTGCACTTGTGCCATTGCCCCAGCTGCTGGTGCCAGACCTTGCAGCCTCATTCCAACCAGACCCCGATCTGTTATTGTCAGCATCCCACCCAGATCCATTTTTTTTCCCATCCCCCAGGTGTCCAAGGACAGGAGACGGATCAGCCCAGTCTCCCGCTCCTGCACTCCAGGCTGGATTCGATCTTTGTCCATCGCCCCAGTTTTGGGATTTGGGTTTTTGAGTCTCACCCCAGGTGGGTGCCTTGTCCTCCTGATTTACGGTCCCACTCCAGGCATGGCCACTCTTGGCAGCAGCAGCATTAGTAACAGCAGTAGAGCTCATCGAGTCCCCCCACACCCCTGGGCCACTGGACACTTTGTTGTTGCTGTCTCCCCAACCTGTGTTTGCTGGCGCAGCGGTGGGTGGCGAGCTGACCCACGCCGATACTGAAGAGGTATTTGTACTGTTCACCACGGACCCATCGTTCTTCCCCCCTGAGTTTGAAGGTTGAGTAGCTGCACAGCCCCAGGCCTCTGTCCCATTGTCATTCTTCCTTTCAGACCTAGGGGATTCTTCAAATTCCCAGGCAGTGTTTTGCTTTACAGGAGTCTGCCCCCAGCCAGTATTAGACAGAACTCTTGGGTCAAGGTCGTTCCTTGGCAACTGGATGTGCCCTTGGTCTATAACCCCTTTATCTCGCCTCCTGCCCTCTGCAGCTCCTTCCCTTCCAGTGCCTCCATCACCATGGCTGCCAGTGCCATCACTACTTCCTCCACTTGCTGGGGCTCCAGAAGATGCAGCTTTGGCCCACGAGTTCATGTGCTCACCACCCGGCTGCTGGGCAGGAGAGTGGTTGGCAACACTAACGCTTTCCCACCCTGGGGATCCTTTCCCACTGACATCACCATTGGAATGCTGGTTTGGGGACTTGCCCCACTCCCCATTCACACCACTAGAGGAGTTCCGGCTGGAGTGGCCCCAGGCTCCTGAATGGATATTACTGACTCCGCTGCTACTGCTGCTGCTGCCCCTTCCCCAGGAGAGGATCCCAGGACCTGCAGGAGGCCCCGAGTCCCAGGCACTCCCTCCATTCCCTTCCTTTTGCCCAGCACTGCTGGATCCATTTTGCTTAGCACTTAATGCTGAGTTCACAGTGTCTCCACTCCCCTGGCTGAACCCAGGATTATTATTTCCTGTAGCAGGGCTGCTGGGGGACAGTCCCCACACAGAACTGCTCATTCCTTCCCCACCAGCCCCACTGCCTTGAGACACTGATGATCCGTTAGCACCAGGAAGGCCTTGCAGGTGGGGCGGGATGATGGCTCCCATACCAACAGCCATGCCCCAATTTGGCAGTCCATCTGTCTGCATTGCACTGACGGGGTTTGGTGAAGAGCTCATGGAGTTAGTGTTATTTGGCCCATCAGTGTTAAGGTTCTGAGACTGTACGCTGAAAGACACATTCTGAGAAGTGGATGTTTGTGGTTCTGTGCTCTCTGGTGGCAGCAGGTTTCCCCAAGCACCTAGAGTGCTTGCTGGGTTCCCATTCTGACTGCCCATGCTCTGACCTATGGCACTGACTGGACTGCAAATACTGGAAGGGTTGCCTGTTGCCACAGGTCCTTCATGTCCAAGCACAGGCCAGGCAGCTGGGTTGGCATTAGGATTAAGGTTAAGATTAATGCCGGCATTGGAGTTGGAAGCACCCCAGCAATTCTGACTTCTCCCATCTCCAATCATATTGTCCATTTTTCCATCCCCACCACCAATAGAGCAGTGAACCAGGCCAGAGCCGGAACCTGTGGCTACACCCCACACTCTGGCCGCACTTCCGCTCCCATTTGCTCCCCCTGCCCCGAGGGCACTCTGATGGGAAGGGCTTTGGACGAGTGCGCCACTGGCGCCATTATTGCCATTCGTCTTCTTGGTATGTCCTGTGAAGCTGCCCTGGGCACTCCCTGTAGCCATGCCACTGTTCTCTGAGCCACAGGTGGAGGCGGAGTCAGTGTCTGCAGGACATTCTAAGGCTGACTCAATCTCTGCTCCTGGGACAGCTGGCCAAGCCTCCTGGTCAGCCTTGTCAGTGATCACTTTATCCCAGCTGCAGTTGGCTTCAGTTCTGTAGGAGGGCTGCTGTCCCCACTGAGAATTTTCATAATGATCTGCCAGTGCGCTGTGACCAAGATCTGAAAAAGACCGAACAAAACTCAAAATTAGATATTCGTCCCACTTGTCAGTGAATCAACAGTTAACTAATAACTGGGAGAAGCTCTATATTATAGTTCAGCTTTTTAATTCTAAATGAGAAACTCTAATACAAAAATGCTTGAAGGAGCTAAGGGTATGGTTTAGTGGTAAAGTGCGTACCGTTTCTTGAACTTAAAAAAAAAAAAGAAAGCTATTTGTCTTCTTAGCAGCTCCCACTAAAAATTACAGTAATTCTCCCCCCCCCACCCCTCACCCCACCCCCGTACTCTCCCTCTACTCCCTGTCCCTTTGAGCATCTGTGCTAAAGGAAGTGGCAGTCTGGAGTACATGCTTAGGCAACTTCTGCAAATACATAGATTTGGGAAGCGCTGGCAAAGATACTAAGTTCTCCTGGACTTCTGAATACAGTTTAAGAGTTCTAATGAGGGCTGGGCTCAAGTGGCAGAGTACTTGCCTAACTAGCACCAGACTCTCAATTCTATCTCCAGTATTGAAAAACAAGTAAAAAACAAAAACAAACCCTTCCCTTTCCAATAGCCAATAACTTGCTACTGTTGACATCTACGCCAAATTCTCATTCAATAAGCTGCATTCTTCAATGATAGCCAGTCTCTCTGAATAATTGGTAGCCACAAGAACTCAGATTTTGGCCATAAACATTTATGCTCTGGTTCACTCAGAAAATATTGTCTACCATCATATCTTCAAGGAGCTCACCTTGAGAAATTAGTCTTAATTCAGGTTGATTTTTTAATTACCCTGAACCTGTGCTTTCTTTCTTTCTTTTTTTTTTTTTTTGGTCCAGTCGTGGGGCCTGAACTCTGGACCTGGGCTCTGTCCCTCAGCTCTTCAGCTCAAGGCTAGCGCTCTACCACTTGAGCCACAGCGCCACTTCCGGCTTTTTTCTTTTTGCTTATGTGGTGCTGAGGAATCGAACTCAGGGCCTCAGACATGCAAGGCATGCGCTCTACCACTGAGCCACCTTCCCAGCCCCGAACCTGTGCTTTCTTTATCACCATACTTTTCTAACAGGATTTGCTTGTAATTGGAATTCCTGCTAAGAACACTGGATAATTATTTTATTTGGGATTCTATTATACCAATATGGTCTTTCACTTAGATTACATTTAATGACTTAATTTTGAAGTTGTTTGAAAGCAGAAAGTATACACAGACATTTTTCTTTATTGATTCTTAACACACATTAGTTGTACAAGGGGGTTTCCATAGAGGCATTTTCCCACACATAAACAATGTATCCAGTCAACCTCTCCCCTCCCTAATCATACACATACACACACAGACAAACACTTTTTGTTGTTGTTTGCTTATTTTTGGTGCCTGTTGTGGGGCTTGAACTCAGGGCCTGTGCACTGTCCCTGAGCTTCTTTTGCTCAAGGCTAGTGCTCTACCACTTGAGCCACAGTACCACTTTCAGCCTTTTCTGTTTATGTAATACTGGGGAATCAAACCCAGGGCTTCATGCATGCTAGGCAAGCACTCTACCATTAAGCCACCTACTCAGCCCTGTCCCTGAGCTCTTTTGTTCAAAGCTAGCACCCTAACACAGCTCCCCTTTGGTTTCTGCGTGGTTAATTAAAAATTCAGAGTCTCATGGGAACTTTTCTGCCTGGTCTGGCTTTGAACCGTGATCCACAGATCTTAGCCTCTAGAGTAGCTGGGATTACAGGTGTCACTTATTCTGTTTACCATTCCCACTCCTGCTGTGTCCACCCCCCATCTGAGCCTGTTTTACTTTCCTATTACTTTTTTTTTTTTAAGTGAGAATTAATTGTAACAAGGAGCTTTCACTATGGTATCTTACTTTTTGCTGAGAATAACCTTCTCTATTGATTTTTCTTCCCCTGTATCCTTAATCCCCTATTGATCAACAGCTTTCATGAGTTCCATGCCTTCATCATACATTGTTGAACTGTTAACCCTCCATATATTTTATTTATTACATATAGTACATTTAAAATTCATCTTCCATCCATCCATCCATCCATCCATCCATCCATCCATCCATCCATCCATCCATCCATCCTTGTGTTTGACAAGCTGGCACTTTTACCATTGAGTCACAACACTTCCAAGCTCTAATATTTCCTCATTACTTTTGCCATAGGGTCTTGCTTCCTGTCTGGACATGATCCACCTCCATTAGGTTTCCTGTGCAGCTAGGATTATAATAGGCATGAGCCACTACATCCAGCTCTTCCCTGAGAAAGACTATCACAATTTTTCCCCCTCCTGTCTGCACTAACCTCCAACTGCAATTCCAACAATCTCAGCCTCCCAGCTAGGATTACAGGTGTGATTGGCCCACAGCCAATCACAACAGTCAATTTCAACTATCAAATCTATTAAAGCAAAGGTATTTTAATGTGATAAAATATATGCAACACAACATATACCATTTCAACCCTGACTACAGAATTCATTAGTATCAAGTATTAAGTTAAAAATACATTTAAGGGGATCGCCAGGAACAGAGAAACCTACCAGCCGGGAGTCTCCACGAGGATCCCACCCCCACCCCTCACTCTCCACAGGAGCAGAGAGGCTCCATCCCGCCAAAGCCGCTGGGCACCAGCAGTGTGACCACCCGCCTGATCACGATCGCAACGACCCCGCCCGGGCCCCAGAGGCACAGGGGGCTGCCTGCAGATCACAACCCGTGAAGCCGCCTGAGCGTGGACACTTTTGACCCGACAGCTTCGACAGAGGCAGAGACAGAAAAGAATCACACAGAGCCACCACCGCCCAACCCAGCCAGCAACCACCCCAACTGAACTCGGATTGCAACAACAACTGACGACCTACACCACACAGAAACAACCAGCTCCAGGGTGAGTACCCCACAGGGGACAGTGTATCCCTCAAGGGAGACCAGAGCTGGAGGGAATCCCC